TTGTCCTTGCCATGTGGTTGATCATGATTCATGACCATTCATCGCCCCATCCCCACCCCCATCCTAACATTGCACCATTAATAAGATTGGGTTTCGACTGATAAGCTTGAGCGAGCATAACTTGTGGAATAAAAAAGATAAAGTTTGATTGATAATGGAAACTAATATGTTGGCCAGGTGAGAGAGAGGTGCAGAAGAGAATGGGCAATGTTTCAAGATCGGTTGACTGCTGCTGAGAAGGCCTATTTTGAGGCATTGGGAACCGGTCCACGTAACTCCACTTCTTAATAACACAAACTTTTATCTATATCACAAAGGATGCACAGAGCTTGCGAAACAAGCAAGTATATTAGGTGACTAGGTGATGAGTCTCTGTAGGTTGAAAAGCTAATAGTTGGTCGCACATGGAGATTCAATCTAATTTTGATAGCAGCCCTTATAGTTTTTTTGTGTGATATGTAATACGGAGTAGTCTTTAGATCTTTTGTTGCCTACCTACTTCATTTTTCTTGCTCATGCTTTTTGCGTGATTTACAGTTTTATACTAATATAGTACAATACAATTGGATTAGTCCAAACTCAAAACCCGCTCTTTGTTTGCCTGAAGTACCACAACTCAAAGGGCATTCTCAGTTCTCACTAGTGGCATTCTCTTTGTTTGCTCTTTCGATTTTTTTAAGTAGAAGAATAGTTTTCATAACCTGGTCTGTGGTCACTGGTCTCCCCAAGCTTCTAAAAAATTTGGTTCTAAGAGTAAATCAGAGTACCAGAAGTATTTCTACACTTTCACCCAAACTAGGGGTGGATTCGGGTCGGGCCACCCGGCCCATGGATCGGCCTGGCCCATGGACCGGCCTAACCTGCTACTGTGCGGGACCGGCCCGGTTCTCGGGTTCGGGTCGGGCCTAGGCTCGGGGGAGGGGGCGGGTCTGGGCTCGGGTCTTACGTTTGGTGAACCGGCCCGGCCGGGTCGGTCTTGGGTTCGGGCCAAATTTATTTATTTATTTATAATTTTTTTTTCATTTTTTGGGGTTCCACCTGGGTTGGGCTTGATGATTAGGAGGGGTTTGGGGTGGTGGTGGTGGTGGTGGTGGTGGTGGGGGGGGGGATTAGGAAAGCAAAAAAAGAAAAAAAAACCAACCCGGAGGCTCGGCCCGGCCCGAACCTGGTGCCTACCCGGGTCGGTCCCGGGTCCACCTTTTCTGAACCGTTGGCTCGCCTGGGCCTAGGCCCGACCCGGAACCAGCCCGGCCCGAATCCACCTCTAACCCAAACACTCCAACTTCTGCTCCTACTCTTTGAAGGAGTAGAAACGGTTTTAAGAATCAGATCCAAACACCCCCTTATTTTTTGGGTTTAAGCCGGTTCCGGGTACCTGGTTGGTCCGGCCTTGATCCCAGACCAGTTATCATTTTTATTTTATTTTATCCGGTTCTAAGCTTTAAAAATGGCTAGGACCAGAATTGTCGGGTTTGGTCCCCAAAATTGTAATCCAGGACTCCCGGGAGGACCGAGACTGCAACCGGATAACGCTAGGGCTGGACTCGGTTCGGGCCGGGCCCGGTTCGGTCCTTGAATCGGCCGGGCCTCGGTTCACCAAAAGGAGGGCCCGGACCTGAACCGGCGGTGACCGGTTCCGAGCCGGTTCACCCGCCCTATTTTTTTTTTTTTTTTTTTTGATTTTTTGGCTCCTCTTATTTAACCCCCCACCCCTCCCCCTCAACCCCAAACCACCCCAAATTGCCCAAAATACCTAATCCAACCCAAAACTTAAAAAAATTTCAAAAAATAAAATAAAAAAAAAATTAATTCCGGCCCGGACCGGTCGGGCCGGTTCACCAAATGGAGGGCCCGGGCCCGGAACCGGTATCCACCGGGCCGGTCCGACCCGAACCGCCGGTGGACCGGGCCACCGGGCCGGGCCGGTTGCTACAGTGGGCGGGCCGGGCCGGTTCCGGGTCGGGCCGCCCGGCCCGAGTCCAGCCCTAGATAACGCTATTGGGTGGATAGTGCCGGTCCTTGGCCAGTGGTGGACTTGGGCCGATTCGGGCCAGAGCCGCCAGTTAGGGAATGTTGGGTCCGGGTAGCCACTGGTCCGGTTCGGGTCCTCGGGCCTTTTACACCCCCCCCCCCCCCTTTTTTTCTAATTACCCCCCCGACTCCCCCTAACCCTCAACCTCCCAAACCACCCCAAATGGTCCAAAATACCCAGCCCAACCCGGAGATTTAAAAAAAGTTGAAAAAAAAGCCTGGAACCGTGTCCGGACTAGCCGGGCCGGTTCATGTTTTGGGTGACCCGAGCCCGGACCGGAAACCCCTCGGGTCGGGCCTACCCGGACCGGTCACTGGCTGGGCACCGGTTCGAGCCGGGCCGTAACAGTGCCGGTCCCGGGCCAGTTCCGGGTCGGGTCACCACTATCCTAGGCACTAAACTGGATAAATGGACTTGGTCTGGCCTCAAACGGCACTGGATTTGATTCTTGTCTGAACTCGACCGTTTTTGGGTCCACCTCAAACGACGATGGTAGTACTCAGGGTCTGTTTGCAACAGCTTCTGCTTTTAAAAAAGTGCTTTTTTTTAATGAAATGGGGAGAAGTGATTAAATAAAAGTTGATAGTGTTTGAGAAAAAAGTGATTTTGAAAAGTAAAAGTGGATAGTGTTTGGTAAAATAAGTGTTTTTTTGTGTTATAGAAAAAGTAAAAGCACTTTTGACGCGGAAGCCGAGAAAAATAAAAGTTGTAGTGTTTGAGAAAATAAGTGTTTTTTTAAAGCCAAAAGCTAAGAAGTGCTTTTTTAAAAGCAGTTGCAAACCAACCCTCAATCCCACCAATGTTTGTTTGAGGATAGGAATTCATTACGACCTTTCACACAGTGAACGTGTCAAATTTGATTTGGGATAGTGATTGGGAATTTTCTTTTAATTACTCCTATTCATGGTCGGTCACTCGGTCCTAAGAAATTGATTAAGGGCCTTGTTCAATAAAATAATAGGAAAATTAATTAAAATACCCCAAATTGTCATATGTAATTTAAATACCCCAAACTTTATATAAAAAGTTATTTTAACATCATGGTCTTATACGATAAAAAAACATCATGGTCTTATATTATTTTTTTCAAAAATGTAAAAATTTATGATGTTAATTGCATAATTTAAAATAGTAAATTAAAAATGATGCAATTATATAGAGTGTGGGTAGTATTGGACCATGATGGGGGATGCGAGACGGTGGTCACCGGCCGAATGACAGTGGTCATGGCAGGTCTTATCGGGATGGCAGTGGTCACCGACTATTCGACAGTGTAACTGTATCGGTGACACTGGTGTTACTATGGTTGTGTCACTGTGGTCGGAATCACGGTGGTCGGAGTCAAGGAGCCGCAATTACTATGTCATTGGAAAGATGTAACTATTCGTTTCTCATGGTTAGTCACATTTTTGGAAATTAAAGGGATAAGGGTCAGATAGAGCCTCGAACTCGAAAAAAAATGTCAAATAAGGTCATATTTCGGATGCTCTGTCTGGCCGACGCCATTTGGGGCGGTTCCCGATGGAATTTTTTGATGAAATTTTTTGAGCATCTTCCTCATTAAGTCTAGTTTACCCATACCAAATTTCAGCTAAAAACTCAACCGGGAAGGTAGTCAAATGAATTTTTGAAGATAACTGTGAAGTTAAACAACGCCGTACATTTCGGAAAATTATTTGACTACCTTCCCGGTTGAATTTTTAGCTAAAATTTGGTATGGGTAAACTAGACTTAATGAGGAAGATGCTCAAAAAATTTCATCAAAAAATTCCATCGGGAACCGCCCCAAATGGCGTCGGCCAGACAGAGCATCCGAAATATGACCTTATTTGACATTTTTTTTCGAGTTCGAGGCCCTATCTGACCCTTATTCCCGAAATTAAAAGATAATGTCACTTTTTTGTCAATCATCCAATGTTTAGTAATATTCATGGTAAAACCCCTAACTAATAACATATGTCATGATATATTTTATTAACTAATGAAATTAATTAAAGAAATTCATAAAACATTAGGTATAAAACCCTATTAATTTCACATGTCATTAAGCAAATGTATTTAAATTAAAAGAGACATTCTTCTAGCATATATGGATGCTAATTCATTTACCAAACTTTCAATGTAAACTATTTGGGGTATTTTAGTGATCTCAATTGAATATTAAAACAACTACAACTCTAAATAGAAGAAAATAAAGAAAAAACATGTGTTTGTGATTTGTTGAGAAGAGAGAAATAGGAACCATAAATTAATTGATAAATATGAGAATGTCAATATTTTTGGGTCAATCAAGAAAGGAAAAGATAACAAAGCTATAAAGAACGGATGGAGTACTATTAATACGTTTGAGCCTTCTATTTTGATGGGCCCTGTGCGAATGAGAACCTTGGACTCCCTTTGAGCCGGCCTTGCTCCCATTAGGTATTACTACGGTTGAACTAAGTTTGATTTTGAACTAGGCCGACTTGTTTCTTGATCTTGGGCAAAAAAAAACATCTACTCGAATCACAGTTTGAAAGGTTATGGGATTGGACTCAAATCAGCAAGCATTAACAAGGCGAGCACATGTGGTTCCTATTTGGCTTGAAGAGAAATACTAGCCAAAGACATGAAAATAAGATAAGTAAAAATTATAGAGTATTTAAGACAAATAGTGATTATTTGGGGCTAAGCTCAGACACGTAAGCATATGCGCTAACATCATGTGATAACACTCACATTTCAAACTTTAATTGTCCTTGTAAATGTTTTTTATATGAAAATATTAACTTTGTGATGTCATTCACATTTCACTTAAGTCGATTCCATCTAATAGTATTTTTAAATTTTAATGTTTGCACCCCAAATTTGAAGCCCTTATATGCCATTGCTTAAGAATGTTGGATAGATATTCAAACCATGTGCCTCACCAAAAACTGAGATGTTCGCAATGTTATAAAAATTCTAGAAATCCAACAATATATAGGTAGCGTACTAGCATGGGACTTGGTATTATTATTTGAAGGGTTGATCCCATGTGACCTTTGGGAGGAGGGGGTGGAGCATTTTGGGTACTAGGTGCATGCGATAGCACTGAACCCGCACGCTAATTGTGAACAACATTTGTGAGTAAGTTAAATACTTAAAATGTTGCATTGAGCAAACTATACCTTGTGTATGCAGCGTTCCTCGGAACCCACTGCTCACACATTTGGAACAAACAGAGTTTTCATGCATGAATAACTTACACCATAAAACTGAGGAGTAGTGTGTGCGCGCACGCATATACTACTCCGTTTGATAATAATCTCGAATGGAGTAATTACTATAAATTTGTAATTTCAAACATCCTCAAAACATTATGTACTGAGCCTTTTCATTTAAAAGTCACTATTGCCAATGAGCCACAACCAGTCAAGAGCCGCACCAGAAAACACACCAGTAAGAAGACATGACACTAGCATGTTACCCAATGCATTTGCCTCTACTCCCTACATTCAAAAAGAAAAAAAGATCATGACTGAAAAACCCGGACAAATTGAATTTCATGCTGAAATAACACAATGGTTTAGGAGGCTGCAGGATCATGTATGTATTGTATATAATATATTTGTCCGAAAGAATAGGCCAGTGTGAACAAACCTTGTAGCCTTTGGGGGCTGCAGTGAGGACAGAGACGGTGAGATAACCGTTTGTGAGTCCGAGGATTGACACCAACATGATCATCCATCCCTCTTCACCGTATCTAGCTGTGAAGTAGAAACACGGTACCAACAAGAAGCGGGACAGCGTCGCTATCATCAATCCCTTCCTGGATTTCAATGTCATTCTCTTAACAAGTGGTATGTATCTTGATATGAGATCCCAAACATTGAATACCGCTACTAGAACATTAGGATACCTACAATAAGATGTTTTATATTTAATCAAATGCCCATGGCTTAACATCTCGGATAAACTAGGGGATCATTGGAGCCAATGTTGAAGTTTATGTGATCATCTTATCCAAACTGAATTGTATGTGACTGTGGAGATGTCTTGCAAAGGAGAGACTAAAAAAGAATCATGATTACCATGAACCGAGCTTGTGGGACCCGATGGTGTTCTCATACAAAAATCCAGGGAAAATGGATAAGGTTAGAGCATATATGAGGTAGAGGTCCAATGCATAATCTATGTTCTCTTTGAACAATTCCTTCTTGCTTATCCTATTACACTGGGTTACCATCATCACATTCATAATTAAGTCATCACATCATCAATATTAGTTTGAGCAATTGAACAGATGTGGACAAAAAAGAAATAAGGTAAAGAGAAATGTTGTGTACTGTTGTTTCACTTGGCGATCTCTCTAAAGCCGCGGCCTTTGAGCGATGGTATTTCACTATTGGTAATTTTGGGAAAATGAATGCGTAGAGAATAAAGCACAACAACTCCAACAATGTGGTAATGGTCAGAAACAAGACTGCAAAATTAAGGTCACAATTATACATGTTCCTAAAAGTTTGGGCAAAATGGCGATGATTGGTTTGTGAGCCATTGCCCAACATAAAGTATGCTTCAAACTTAGGAAATTAAAATAGTAATGGTTGTAGTTGTGAAGTTTAAGTAGCACATACTAACTCCCTTCCTAAGATTGTGAGAGGAGAGCTCAAATGCAGCTTTTGTCACCAGCCTAAGTCCAGAAGTGAGTGCACCTGAGGCAGCTATTCCAGCAAAGAAGGACTATAGTGCAAATTCATAAAACAAAGTAAAATAAATTAAATAAGCTCAACTACTATATATAACAATCACAATAATATATATATATATATATATATATATATATATATATACACACGAGTGAGATTGAAAGCATACATACTTGGATGAGTTTTGGGGACATGGATGAGATTTCTCCGACAATACCACCTTCTACATGGGCACTGGCCACTCCAAAAGAAGCAACAATGATACAAATGCCTATGTAGACTCCGAGCCCCCCCTTCCCCGACGTTGCAAAATCTATCTGCTCGAGTTAGAAATGTGCTTCATTTAAGAAGCGTGAAGTTTTCATTTTAATGTTCCACAATTAAAGTGTTGATGTGTGACTGAGAAGTCACGAGTTCAAATCTTGGGAGCAACCTCTTGTTAAAATTTAACAGAGGAAGATAATTTCTATTTTTACTCATAGCAGAAGTGTTGCTTGATTTGAATGTTGATGATTAAGTTAGGGGTAAACCTAGAAATACAAAAAAAAATGAATGGGAAATTATCATTGACCCCCCTGAGGTTTGATGTATTATCAATCACACCCATATACTATAAAAAATATACTCTTACCCCCCTCTATATCCTTTAATGATGGTTAAATAACTCTTAATCTATTTTTAGAGAAAATTATGAATATAATTTCATAATTTTTCTATGAGTCTGCTTTTAATATTGTAATTCTTTCAACCACAAATCTGGTCGGGTAATTAATAAATTTGTCCATATTAAAGACCTTTCTATTGGAAGTTGAACCAAATAAAAAAATGACCAAAATTGACCTTACTCTAGGTAGTTCGTTTTATGCATTTCAATTTGTAAAGTGATTAAATTTACTCAATAGAAAATGATCAAGATATGCTAAATTTGACAAAAATTGAAACAAATTAATATAAATGAACCAAACCGACTCAAAAGTGAAGTTTCCTACTTGATTTAACCATTAAAAATTGAACGCAAGAAAATTCCCAATTTAGACACTCTTTGTTATCATTGAAAATGAGATCACTATATATAGGTACAATAATAACTTGTAGATTTAAATATTTGACAAAATATGAACATGTTTACATGTAAATTAAAATATTAGTACAGACATTATAGTTTAGGACGGGTTCCACACCCAAATTGGTTAGTCCTAAATAATTACATGTACCTATATTGGTCTAGGTTCGCTCCCAATTTTTTTTAACTACCTATATTTCTACTTTTAAATGGAATATAGCCCATTTTAAAGTGTTCTCAATGATTTTAATAAAAAAAATGAACAGTGTCAAAACATGGACTCCAATCCCGATCCCATAAAGTGAGGCTTGAGGCCTTTTTTTCACCGGTCTGGTCTCGATCCCGATCTAAAATTAAAAATAAAAAAGAAATAAAACTAATTCAAATATATAAATTTTTAAATTAATTTTTTAACGGTCATTTTACGTCTGAAAAGCTAATTGCAAATTTTTACCTAATTACAAACATTTTATTTCAAACCACTAATGAAAGCGGTTAGTTAAAAAGCTAATGTAATCCGCTATTATCAATCTGCTGATTCAACCGGGTATGAGCTAGCAACAACTACTATTATCAAACACGGTCGTTAACATTTTTAGACCTCCACTTTTGATGACAAAATCAAAGTAAAAGGACGACAAATGTCAATTTCACAATACTTAAAATATGAAATGTCGGGAATTCTAAAGTCGAGGACAAAAGTTTATTACTTACAAAAAATTGACCAAAGTAAGTATTTCTCATACAAATTTCCAATACTCCAATAGGTAACAATATTGTCTCCTAAAAGTCCTTCACCAACATCTGTTTTAGGTATAAAATAACCCTGCTCATTATTTGGCATCTTTCCCTCGTTACAAAAGTTTCACCAAGATTTCTACAATCTCAGATATATTTTCAAACTTTTAAAAGTATTAGAGATTTATTGCTGTTTTAAGCTTGTTCCTTTCAATTGTGTTTGCTACTAGTCCTATAATTTTACTTACATGTAGATGTAGTTATGCACCTAATAAATTTGTCAATAATAAGGATTATTTCATCATAAAGTACGCGTTCCCACGACAAAAGTATGTTCTGGCGGAAAGATTCTTAATACAGATAAATTTATTTATAATCAGATTAAATCTACAAGTGAGTAAATTTATAAAACTAAATTCATACTCTTGCTAAACGTAATTAGGAGTTAATACACTTTCATTAAAGGATAGGGAGGGGGTAAGTGCATATTTTCAATAGTGCAAGGGCCTAAATAATGATAATACATGAAACCTCAATGATAATTTCCCAAAATGAATGCACACCTTATGAATGATCTAGACTATCGTTGTGGTACAGATGTAGTATATTTTGGCATATCGAGACAAGTTTTAGTATGTTTTTGTTATTTGACTTGTTTTTCATTTAAGGCGCATTTTACAGTATTGGGATTTGGAAGGAACATCGTAACCACTATTATGCTATGTGCTATGCTCTGCACTCTGTGCTCTTTATACACTGAGACCCTCGTCTTGCGGGGTATCTGCGTGCACCGGGCTGCCCTTTTTTTTCTCTTAATGTTCCACAATGAACTTTTATTTGTGCACATTTCGCTTAATCGCAATACCAAAGGATCACTTATGAAGATGCCATCATATTTCTCTTTCATTTTTACATCATTTCAACAATTTAAGAGTCATTAGACCACAGATCTAATACACTACATTCAGTCTCACATTTCAAATAAAGACCTTTTCTTAAATGATCCAAACTATATAAATATTTATATATGAGATAAGGGTCAAATAGGCTTATTAGTTACAGTCACATTAATGACTCGTTAATATAAAAAAGTCTTTTTTTAATTGAAATCATAATTAACATAGGTAAATTAGAAATTCTAATACTTTCTAAACTTTAATAATTAATATTTATCATTAACGATTCCATCTCTCCTGTTTTGTTGGTCACTTTCACCATTATATTAATGTGGTCAACAGAATTTCCTATTCTCTTATTTTGTGTATCAAATATTGTACATGCTTGAATTCAATTTGTACAGTTCAATATATAGAACATTTAGTGCGGTTTTAAATATGTAATTTTAAAGTAATGATAAAAGTTGATCAAAGTTGATTCTTTCCACTAATAAGAAAATAGAGATTCCATGTTTGAGATTTTGTGTGAGAGAGAAATAACTTTAATCCGATATTAGTTTCTTTAAATGGAAATGATATTAGGTAGAAGTACAAAATAAGAAAAGTTAAAATTATGTGATTGAGATTTGTGCAGAAAAAAGAGAAATATATAAGATGAAACAAAAATTCATTACTTTAAAAATGACAATTTTCTTTGGACAAACAAAATATAAAACTTGACAAAGCCCAATGAGATGTAGGCAACAAATGTTTTTGAAATGGCTAAATAGAAAAATTGATAAAATTCTATGAATGTGGAACTGTGGAAGTATGGCTTAAATTTTACAAAAAGGAGGTGTCATATTGAAGTGTACCTAAAGAAAGCATACAAAAAGCTGAAGAAATTAAATAATTGGTTTACAAAATGAGAAAGTGTTTTAAAGTTTCTTTAGGAAGCAACAGTGATATATAAAGATAAAAAGAAGCCATCCAAATCAAGTGAGTGGAAATACCAGTAGGAGTGAAGATGTTCCTAAAGTGAATAAGAGATATCCCACCAAGTTCCGCTTCCTCCTATCAATCTCTTCACTTTTATAAGACAGTATTGCAATTGTGGCAATGGAGAAGGGTTGGTACACAAGGGCAAGCACTCTTGAAGGATGGTATTTCTGAATTCATACAAAAAAAACGTAATAATAATAATAATGATAATGGTAATACTAATACTTCGTAATATCAATATTATTATATAACTTACATACTGTCCATGCATATTTTATGTTAAGTTATGAGGTAGATGTGATAAAATCATAAAAGAAAGAAGCACAAATTTACACAGTACAGTTCCGCATTTAGAAGTGAGAGAGATTACATACTAATATTGCATATCATTATTAGGAAGATTCAAATTCTGTTTTAATTTCCACTTTTCTCAAAATTTACAACATTTGAAAACCACGTAATTTTTTTAGTAACACCTAGTTCTTGATTGAGCTTAATTATTTGCGATCAATTATTTACACATTACTTTTTAGAAAAAGAGTGTAAAATGACCGAATAGTCTAAAATGTGACTTATTGATACACTGATCAATTCTACCGGATTAAAAATAGGAATTTACTAGGCATGATTAAAGGTAGGGGATGCTTTTTCTTATAATAATTATCAATAATTTTGAGAGGGAAATGAATGAAGGATAGGATATACTTCGTGATGGACTGAGTGCACGTACGTACAGGAAAGAGTTGATAATAATAGTCTCCGATAGTGAGCATGCAGTTCCATGCCAGAAGATTTCCAAGTCCAAGAATCCAACAAACTATCATTCCGCCCTATATATATATTTTCAAAATCCTCAGCTTAATTTCGAATCTCACTAAAAAATTAAAAGCATACTAGTATATATTTTCAACAATTATATACACCCACATATATATATATATATATATATATATATATATATATATATATATATATATATTCGAACATACGATAGTATATACTATCGTACGAAGTACATAGCAGGTCAGGAAAAAGTTGACAAAACCAACCTTAAGCCTAGTTGGGTTTACGCCTGCAGATTCATCCATGGCAATATCCATGCCTGCTTTATTTAATTTTTGCTACAACGTAACACACCAAAATGACTCGAACACACATACTTCTATATATATAGAGAAAGAGTGAGAACTAGCTAGCTATCTAATTAAAGGGCCAAATGGGTCCCATAAATAATGCTTTTTAAATTGTAGTTGCGGTCACCACGGACCCGCGGTCAGGATACATATTGTGATTATATTGATCTGATGTGGTGTGAATTAATTTTTCGTTCGAATGAAATAATAAAAATTAAATTAGTGTTGCGTCGGAATATATATATAACTTTCTTCACAAATAAAAAAAGAAATTAGAAAGTAAAAGTGACTATTGGTCTATTGGTTTTCATATAATTGTAAGTCGTAACTAGTAGCTATAGGCCAAGTAATAGAGACAAAATTAGGTCAATGAGGTCCATGTTTGAAACACGCTACATACTAAAATAGTTTCAAGTAGAAACACCATAATATGGTAGGCACATAAGAATCCAAATTGGGGATGCATAAGCTTTCATAGAATTATTATAGGATCGATCCATTAACAGGTAGAATCCACCAATGAGGACCCTCGTGCATGTGGCCTAACCTTAACTTTTATATTAGTGATTAGTGAGTAAGTTGTTATACCTTGGGGGAGTAGCCTATGGGGTAATTTAAGACTAAACTTTAATTAAAAAATGCACGTGAACAGTATTCATGTAAATCCTATGTATGGAAATGTAACGCGTATTGTTGTAAAATGTAATCTCAATTAGCGATAAATGTAACCCGCGCACTGGAATGCAACTCGCTTTATAACTCCTTTCAATGGTTATTTCAGCTTTCACCTTTTTCATATATGAAATATAAATCACATGTATACAAAATGTAACATACACAAGGCAAGTTGAAATGTAAATGATATTAATATAAATGTAACTCGCGCATATAACATGTAAATGGAACTCTTTATGAATTATCAAATAAATTCATTTTCTTCACTTGATTAAGATGGAAAATTTCAAATTAGCTCATGTTGTTTAAAATGCCATTTTTTTGCATTTGTTTCGTACTTAGCTAGCTCATCTTAGAAAACTAAATAGAAGGAAATTCCTTTGGCAAAGCTTTTGCTACTTTGTTCCTTTCTTGGATTTGCGACCATTTCAAGTTGGCAAACCTTCGCCTACTCTAATTCTCTAAATACTCAACGTTTCACGGGACCAATCAAACGGATATCATCTAAATTTTGGACTTTTCTTGTTTATTGAAAAGTGGAAATCTGAAAATTCGTAGTAAGTTTTTCTTTGGTGAAACCCTACATTTATGGTATATTTTTTTCAATGGACGTTTATGATAAAAAATGTTCTTGAGAAACGAATGTTGTAGTATTTTTATTTTTTAATGACCTAATTAAGCGTCGGTATTTGGATTCGCACGCATATAATACCGCATTCTATGTACCAGTGTACCACCCTCCAAAACTAGGATTTTGATCACAAACAATTACGGAGTATCTTTTATTGAATAGTTTCAAGGGGCGAATTCAATAAGACTTGCATCACATATTACCAAATTGTTGCTCTATCTATAAGCTCACTACTTCCACTACCACCCATCTTGAACGTACTGCTATGTGAGTTAATTAATGGAACTCAGTAAAGAGCAAGACGTTGCTCATTTTCTTTGGTATATTTAAACCATAAAGAAGAAATTTGGGGTGGGTGACCAATCAGGTGATTGATGTGAGCTACACCTCAAACCCCTTGGTCAATGTTTCCCCCCTCTTTTCCTAATTCCAGTTTCCTCTTATGCTCGTGCCCTTCATCTTCTACTTTCACCAATCACCATCAGCATCACCGCGAAGAGCAAGTTTGACAGCTCACCGCTCGCACCCAGATGGCTCGCCGCTCACCACTCACACCCTAACGGGAGGCCCCGCTGCTCGCACCCATACAGACGGCTCGTTGTTTGCACCCAGACGACCAAATACTCATCTCACGCTAAACGCTCGTACTCGCGGTTTACTAACTCTTCTCAGTCGACGAAACTCACACGACCACCTCAAGTAAGATTGGAGCTCACGAAGATCAGATTGAAGCTTGCTCAGATAGTCTCAATGCTCATTAGTAGAGAACACGATACTCGATATGATAAAGTTTTTGATGCTCAATGCTAAGTTCCAATGCTCAATGAAGATGTTTGATCATATTGTCTCAATGCTCAATAGTTTAGAACACGATACTCAATGAAGATGTTTTGATACTCCATGCATAGTTCCAATGCTCAATGAAAATGTCTTATATCAGAATTCACGATTTACATATCAATGCATATTTCTAAAGTATTATACTAAATTAGATTCGCATATTGGTATTCATAAGATTATAAGAGTTATTTGTAGATTTAAGTTAAGAGATTTTATAAAAGAAAAATAAGAAAAGCAAAATGAATAAGAGGATACGAAGCAGAGATCACAATGCTCAATATTAGATTTCTAAACCTCAATAAAACAAGCTTGATTCGTAACAAAATTAGTGAAAAAGCGGTCTAACTCAGGTGGTAGCTGATTCACTCTCCCTTGTGGGAGGTCTCAGGTTCAATACTCCATGAAGGGAGTTTGAACACAATTTACCCCAGCCCCTCAACCCCCCGACCCCCGGGATAATTAAAAAAAATTAGCAGACTATTCATCAGTAAAGAGAACTCATAATTACTACTCCGTATGAAATGAGTCATATCATTTTTAATTAATGAGCATGAGATATCCAAACACAAATTTCATAATTGTCCAAACTACATACGGAGTATTTCCAACACGAGGCAAAGATGGACTGCCTACAAATCATGAATCTCCTAATGACTCTTCTTATAATAAAACCATGGCTGCATGCCTGCATCTATGTTAATACTTCAAACATCTTTTAATATGGGTTTCGTCATTCGTGTGTAGTTGTATTTATTTAGGGAGTGGAATCTCTGTTTTTGGAAAGGTATGCCTTTCCCGGATCATTATGTACTAGTTTCTTTTAATAAAATTTCATCTGATTAAAATAAAGACAAATAAACATTTGCCTTTGGAATACCAAAAAAAGGAGTGGAATCCCTAGCTGGACTCTACTTTCTGATTTGTTCATGACCATTAGACACTACACATCAACACTTTATGGCCTCGAACAACTACTCTTTTTGACCCATTTCTCCCTACCTCTTTTTTAATGATGTCCATCTGTAATACTTTTATGTTTCTCTTCAATACTTTTTATAGCGAAAAAAATCTGTTTAGTTACATAAAGCTTCACCCCTTTTAAATTCTTTACAGTGTTTCTCTTAGTTACTTTAGCCCAAAATTAGGGGTGGACCCGGGTCAAGCCGCCCGGCCCGGAACCGGACCGGCCCAGTACTGCTTGGGCTCGGCCCGGTACCCAGTCTTGGGGCCGGTTCGGGCCAACCGGAACCGCTCTAATCCCGGTGCGGGCTCGGACCCCCTAAAATGCGAACCGTCTCGGCCGGTTCGGACCTATTTTTTTTCAATTTTTTTTTTGTTTCTACCGGGTTGGGCTGGGTGTTTTTTTTTTGGGGGGGGGTGTGGGGGTGAAGGGGTGGGGGTCGGGGGTTATTTAGAAAATCAAAAGAAAATTTAAAAAAAATAACATTGAACTGGAACCGGCCCGGAACCGCCTGCTACCCGGGCCGGTTCCGGTTCCACCATTCCCAAATAAAAGCCCGGCCGGGGCCCAGGCCCGAACCGGCCCGGATCCATCCCTACCCAAAATTTTCATCCTTGTGTAAAATAGAATCACAAATTAATATGCTCACGTTGAGCATCACCCGTGAGAACTGAGAAGGGTTAACTATACGTGCCTAAAATATGGGTTAACTATACCGTCTATATGTGTTTGCATTTTAAAATATATAAAAAAAATTGATGAATTCATTTGTTCAAACAAACGAAACAAATCCAGTAATAGGGTTTAGAAATGGTGAGAATTGTATACAGACTTCTATCTAGCCGTACAAATAGAGACACTACCTCCAGCGAGGCCACCTAAGTTCTTGGAAGCTTTGGAAAGGAATGCAACTTTTGAAAATTTTAAATATTTAACCAGCTTTTCTAAACAATGCTCAATTAATGAAAGGAAAGCTGTGCAATTATTCTACATGTATCCTTTGGTTATTGTCTCTTCTAACTCTTGAAACTCCCAAGCATCATTTGCTTTGTATTCTCCTAAAACGAAGGAAACAACCAAAATTAGCTCAGAGCAAGAAAATTCTCATAAGTTGGTAACTATCAATATCTCTTGCATGGGGTCCCTTTCCTGAGTTCCTGGGGTAGGGGTCATTACTAAAATTCCAGGGGTTGTGTAAGAAAACTGGGAACAACGATTCAACAAGAACCTTACCAATTGAATCTCTTCGTAGAGCTGACAAGTGAGCACAGCTGCAAAAAATTGTTTCCCAACTTCATGAGATCAGAACACAATTGCAAAAATTGAGAATCCAAGAAATGCTCAAACTTTCTTGATAGTTTCGTATTTAGCTCTACCATTATTAATATTATTAAACAGATGTAGAACATGTTTAGAGTTGGACTCCATCTTAAGGTTAACCTAATGCGAAGAATAGAACCAGATTTATGTGTTGGCTTGAGAAGACATAATGTAACAAGGTTATTAATTCATATAATACCTGCCAAGAGCCTTCCCAAAATCGGCACAGAGAGACCGAATATATGTCCCTTTTGAGCATATTACTCGAAAAATCACATTTTGTCTGCAAAGCAATAATGAGATTTCAGATATCACATGTAGATATTATATTTCAAAGAGATCCATAGTAAATCTGGTAAAAAATGATGTGCAGGCAAGAAAAGTTTGACTGCTCTAGAGTCTTTGTCAGGAATTCTACTTCCAGAAGGGGAGTTGAATTTAGAAAAAAAAAATGTTTGTACACACTCTTATACACACGTCGGTGAACACTGAACATGCTATGTTTTTCTCTAAGAATAGCAAGTTCATAGACAAAACATGTTGTTTGTGAACTGGCTATTCACAGACAAAAAAATAGCCTTTACAGATGTGTGTATAAGAGTGTGTACAAGAAGCAGGGCTGTTGAATTTATGCATTATCTTAAAACCATATACAATGGAATGTTTGACAAAAGAGCAGCTACTGGGAACTTAGAGCTAGTATGGTTTACACTGGGCTTAAACAACCAATATTTAAAAAGCAGTGCCAGAGTTACTTTTTTCACAAAATTGCTGAAATTAAAAAAAAATGATATTTCTACCTTTATTTTCTTTCATTCATTTTAGAAAGATATTTTAAATACATTTTTAGATAATTTGCCATATTCAGCCAATTCAATCACAACTTCCGTTGATTAGGATCAACCACATCAATCATTTTTTCCTTGCCAAAATATGCCCTTAAAAGCTACTCCCTCCGTCCCGCTAAGATTGTCCCATTTTACCTTTTCTGTTCGTCCCACTAAGATTGTCCCATACCAAATTTGGTAAAATTTATGTGGCTCTAAATCATTTTTTCTGCATTCTTACTTTATCAATTCAATATCAACCACATAAACCACTGGTTTGCGTGTGACTACCTCATGTCCCATTGTTAGTGGGACGGAGGGAGTAGTAAGTAAATATAATAGAAGTAGATTTTCGAGGAACGAAATCCCTTCGCTAAATATAAGAGAACTTGTAGGAAGTTATGTAGTAAAGAGAAAACCAGTTGAAAAACTACTTAGAGATCAAACCATTGACTAACCTGTCCTCCAAACTTCGTTCAACATCAAACTGGAAAATTGATACCCTCCTTGGTGAAAGTTCAATGCTCTCTCCCCTTCGTGCTTTCTCATACATCTTCTCACCACCAACCTATCACATAGCAAAGAAATTGGAAGCAATCACACTACAGGAATGATTCATTTACCATATAAAAGGTTTTGCACAGATAGAAATTGAGAGAAAATTGAAATGGATCATAATTTGTACACATTTTTATATATAAAAAAACAAAATAAACACATTCAAACTTAACTTCAACATTGAGTGATATTTTTGAAAAAGAGTTAGGATATCTACTCTGTATGTTCATATTTATATATCTTCAATGATCTAATCACAAAATTTAAGAAAACACATTAGAGTGATATTATATTATATGGAGCACTTGGTACCCATTTAATACAGAGTATAATTATTATAAAAGGAATAAAATTTAAAACGAATAACTATATGCATGATTTTCATAAAAGGATGAAAAAAAGGAACATGCAAATTTGATCAATAAAGTCAGAAAAATAAGAACAATTGCTGAACTTACTTTGATGGCAGAGAACATTGGAGGGACTTGCCATATCTCCCCAGAAAAGGATGCAGCAGCTTTCCTTAGATCCTCATTCTTGATGTGGTCCCATGGCTCACGTAGAATAACCTGTATAACATACATGGATTATTTGTATATGTTACAAGTCAACCCAAAAACATTAGCAACTAATTTGTACTCGCCAGTTAATTTTGATTTGTTCCACTGGGCTATTCACGGAGATCAAGGACAACTGTAGGGCAGTGAATATTGTAGACAAAGAGGGGAGATAAGAATAAAAAGTTGGAAAAATAGAAAAGAGAAGATGAAAAGAAAGAGTTTATGTATTTTGATACATTTGTAATTGCCACAAAATGAGTGGAGGAAGACAGCAAGTAATAAAACATTTTTATAAAAGAAAAGTAGAACAATGGATTAAGAGCTTGACACATAATAATGTGATAATGATGAAGTTTATCCAACTATAGCAACATCATTTTGGCCCTTTTACAGATATTCAAAGAACAGCATAGACGATTTAAGAAAATAATACCATCAGATTAATATTTTTGGTTTTAGCATGTTTTATACTCCCTCCGTATTTAAAAGTTCTCTACACTTTCCTTTTTGGGATGTATTTAAAAGTTCCATACACTTCCATTTTGGTAAGTTTATTCTTTACAAAATACTCAACTACCCATACTTTATCTACTTTTTATCTTCTCTTTCATACTTTTACACACTCTCTCCTACTTTTTCTACACTATTCACTACCCTTACTATTCTATCTTAAAATATTGTGCCAAAAGCAAATGTAGGGAACATATAAATACGGAGGGAGTATTTTTTATGAAACAATAAGCGGACAATCAATATAATGCGGTAAAACATAGGAGAAGGAGGAATAGGGTGGAAGCGTTCAAATTGGATGGCGGTCGGTGGGAGAAAGATCATGGCGAAGTGGGCAGAATTATTAACCATTACTTTATCAATATATTTTCTTCTATGCAGGGTGACAACACTTATGTGCTTGAGTGTGTGGGGCGAAAACTTGAAGAGTCCCATAATTTTAATCTTCTACGCCCCATTTCAGAGAAGGAAGTGAAGTCAGCCCTTTTTGCAATGTTCCCGGACAAATCCCCTGGACCTGACGGCATGAGCCCTGGCTTTTACCAACATTTTTGGGATGTAGTAGGGCTAGATGTTGTGGAGTTTTGCAGGAGTGTATTTGACACTGAGACACTTCCGGAGTATGTGAATCATACAAATATTGTTCTAATCCCAAAGGACTATCTAGAAACGATGGGGGATTGGAGGCCCATTGCGCTGTGTAACGTTGTTTACAAAATCTTTGCTAAAGTTCTGGCGAACAGAATGAAATCTTTGATGAATGTTTGTGTTGTTGAGCATGGCAGGTCAATAGTTGATAACATCATGATTGCTTTTGAGTCCCAGCATTTCTTGAAGCAGAAGAAGCAAGGTAAGGCGGCACTAAAGTTAGACATGAGTAAAGCCTACGATCGGGTGGAATGGCATTTTTTGGAAGGTATGATGTGTCACCTTGGTTTTACAGATAAATGGGTCCGCTTGATTATGTTTTGTGTGCGATCTGTGACTTATTCAATTCCTTTCGATGATTCTGAGATTGGTCTGATTGTCCCTTCACGAGGTTTACGACAAGGCAACCCGTTGTCCCCTTATTTATTTATTCTGGTGGCAGAAGGGTTAAGTGCACATCTTCCCAGACAAGAAGCAGTCGGGCGTATTCACGGGGTTGCCGTGGCTAAGGGGGCTCCAAGGATTTCTCATTTATTATTTGCCGATGACTGTTTACTTTTTTTCAGGGCATGTTATGGGGAGGCAGAAGCTATATTGGAAGCCCTTCAGTGTTATGCATCGGCATCGGGTCAAGTGATTAATATAAAATTTTAAATAAGTCTAAGCTATTTTTTAGCAAAAATGTTTTAGAAGTGAGGACAAGTTTGATCACAATGTTGGGTGTGTGCTCGGCCGGGGTGGAGGAGAGATATTTGGGTCTACCTGCTCTGGTTAGTAAGGGAAAAAAAGAGATTTTGGATTATCTTAGGCAAATGATAATTAAGAAAATCCAAAATTGGAACAATCGTTTTCTTTCGAAAGCAGGGCGGGAGATTTTGCTTAAGACAGTAGTTCAGGCTCTTCCTAATTATGCAATGAATGTGTTCCTTTTACCACTTGAATTATGTCGTGAGATTGAAGTTCTGATGAATGGCTACTGGTGGAATGGTACTTCCGGGAAGGGAATTAGGTGGAGTAATTGGGAGACTTTATTCCAGCCTAAAAAGTATGGGGGTTTAGGCTTTAGACGGCTCCGGGAATTTAATTTATACATGTTGGCTAAATAGGCGTTGCGGTTGGTGACCAAACCGAACACTTTAGCCGGACGGGTGTTTAGAGCCCGTTATTATCCGAAAGGAAATTTTCTATCTGCCAAGCTAGGTGGAAACCCTTCTTTTATCTGGAGGAGTCTGTTTGAGACTCAAGGGGTGATTAAAGCGGGATATCGTTGGAGAGTTGGCGACGGGAAGTCTATCAATATCTGCGAAGAGCCGTGACTCCACTGACTCCCAGATAATGAAGCCCCTTATATTTCGGTATATCCTCCCCACAAATTTTGGGACTGGAAAAGTCACGGGTTGAGGCCTTGATGAAGGAAAATGGTTCTGGGTGGAACAATGATATTTTATTTGATCTTTTTGATTACAGGGACAAGAGTCTTATAGAGCAAATCAGCCTAAGCTACCGAAGTGTACCTGACACATTAATGTGGAGTGGTGAAAGGGATGGTCAGTTTTCAGTCCAGAGTTGCCACAAGAAATTGATGGGCGAATCAACAGCGGAGGCTGGACAGGTTGGACTCAAATGTGGAAGTGGAAATTACCACCAAAAATCAAATCTTTTTTCTGGCAAATTTGTTCGGGTTATCTTCCAACTAGGTGTGCACTTCGCAGTCGTATGGTTAACTGCCCATTGTTTGTGGAATTTGCGGAGAGGGAGAAGAATCTTTGTTGCATCTTTTTGGCAGGGCAGTGGTTGAGGTCAGGCGTATTTTAGGATGGCAGACAGTTGCTATTTCAACTACTACTTTTATGGAATGGGTGGAAGTGAATTTTCAGGCCAGAAGTATGGAGAGTTTGCTGTCGGTGGTTCGGGGTGTTGGGGTATATGGTGTGAACGTAATTGCAGGGTTTGGCAGGGGTGTAATGGGACTCCGCAGCAGATTGTTCATCGAGCCCGGTCTTTTGTTGAAGGCTGGTCGGAAGCGCAGAAGAAGGGAGGCGGGCTGCAGTCGTCCCTTCCAGTCCGGGATGTTGTCTGGTATCCTCCATTGCAGAGGCGGAACCAGAACAATTTTTTAGGGGAGGCTGAAAAGTATGTCAAAATGAAGAGGATTTAAAACATCTACTCCCTCATTCCCTTAAAAATTTGGTCAATTTTGATTAGTTCGAGAACTAATAAAGTAAAAACTGTTTGGTTGAACTTTGTGCATAAAAGAGAGAATTAACTGAAACCACAAATTTTTTCTAAAAAAGGGAAAAATACTCTCTTGTACTTGGTTTCTAATGCAAGGATCAAAGGCAAAAGTAAGTTTACACAACTCTAGATCCACAACAATATCATTTGGATTAAATTCGACATGAAAATGTTTTTCCCTATTACTCTTTTCGTTAGCTCGTTTAGAATACCCACAACTCGCATTACAAATTGTGATATAGATAGATATTACATAACAATTTCAAGATTTTAAAATCATAAATTATTAGAAGATGAATCACATACACATTAAAATCTAAAACAAATAAAACATATCCTAACAATTACATATTAGCCATTTCTATTTTCTGAAATTATTTAAACTACTTGCACCATTTAAAGGAGTGAACAAGTAAAATATAAATTATTAAAAATCTAAAAGTTTGAAACAAGGAAATAGAAGAACTATAACAAGCAATTAAACAAATAATTGAGTAAACAAGGCACAAATTAAAACAAATTAAAAATTATACAACCTACTGCATGGCGTCAACCTAAAAAAGTTTAAATTGCTTTTTAAAATTATACTAGCTACGTACATATTAATAAATCGATTTTTATACAATACAAATTCAACGAGTAAACAAGCTATTTTTTTTTACAGACGCTCAATACAAGTATTACTAAAATTGTCTCAAACTCCAAGAGTTTCAATCGCTTGCTTAGTTGATCGTGAACCGGGTTTTAAATTTCAACCTTTCGTTCTACTAAAAGCTTATAAGCATAAAGGTCTGCGACGTCGTTTCGCTTTTATTTGTACCACTTAATCTAACGGCGCCGTTTTGTTAAGTTAAAAAATAAAAACATAAGCGGCTTAAAGAGATCTGAAACAGAGCAAGAACATTATTGCAGCGGTAGCCGGCCATGGAAAACGTGGAACAAGGTGGAAGTCTGGAAGAAGACTAGGGGCGGTATGAAAATAATACGAGAACATTTCCAGCGAAGGGGTGGCGCCAGCACCGGCTCGCCCCGGCCTGGTTCCGCCCCTGCTCCATTGCCTGGCAAAGTGAAGGTTAATGTCGATGCTTCTGTGGCTGCTGCAGGGTGTGGTTTTGGATGGGTTGTCAGGGATGAAAGAGGGGAGTTTCAGGGAGGTGGAGCTTGTCCATGGGTGAGAGGCTGCTCACCACTTGAGGCAGAATTATTAGCTATCAGGGAAGAAGCTCTTAGCTGCTTGAAGGACTATCGGTAGTTGAATCTTGAGGTGGAGTCAGACTCTTTACAGGCCATTACTGAGATTCACAAGGGATCTAGCGCCTCATATACAGGTCTTTTAGCTGATGATATTAAGGCTTTAGGAATGCATTTCGGGAGCATTTCCTTCTCTTATACTAGGCGTTCTGCGAACAGAGCCGCTCATACTTTAGCTATACTTTAGCTAGGGTGGCGTGTTCTTGCCTGAACGCCGATTTTGGCTTGGTGTTCCCCCTGATTGTATTGTTCATGTACTTCATCACGATTTGATTAATAATAGTTAATTGTATTTTATTCAAAAAAAAAGGTATATAGGACATTAGCATTGACCATCAATTTTATTTGTTAATGACTTCTTGCAT